GCTGCCACGGAAAGGCAGCCAACATCATCACAGACCCATCGCACCCTGGTAATGATCTCCTACACTCTCTTCCATCAGGCAGAAGGTACAGAAACCTGAACACATGCACCAACAGGTTCAGGAACAGCATTTACCTGGCCATTATTAGACTGATGGATGGACTCTCTAGCCTCAAATGATGCTGATCTTGCCAACGTTGATCTTGCCTAGCACACGCTGTGCAATGTAACCTGCCTCTGTCCAAGACTTTTTGACCTGTACATCCTTGCTTACTATGATCTGCCTGTACTGCCGGTAAACAAAGCTTTTCACTGTATTCCGGTACACAGGACAATCAATAAAGGAAAGGCTAAATAATGGTTGGCAGCGTCCCACTTGTCATCATGTGGGTCTGCAGAATAGAGCAACCTTACCACCACCTTCCTCTGCCAATACCGTGCTGCCCCACACCACCTATTTTCTGCCACTTGATTGGGGAACAGTCCTTTTAAAAAGATACGCTCAGAGCAGCAGGAGGGCAAGTTAATTTCTCCCCATCAGCATGCAAGCGAGATGAAGCCTGGTCAACGTTCACCAGGTTCAGCCACCCCTGCCTCCCTTCCTCCCCACTCTCCCCTCCCCGAGGGAAACTGACCAGCTGGAGTGGGAAGTCACCTCATGACAAACCGCCCCCCCCTCCCCCGCCATTGAATGACAGGCCCACACCAGTGTGAGTGGCCCTCTCTAACCAGATCAAGGAGGAGTGAGAGCGAACCTCTGCTGTAGGGGACTCCATACAAACCCCTTACACACTTGTCGAGAGTGGTCTACCTCACAGAGGGCTGTCGTCTCTACAGCGTAACTGGTAGGTGAGCCTTCTTGAACTCAGCAATTCATCCACTGTCCCAGGGGAGAGCGGGCGACACGCTCCCATGCAGAGTGAGTGATGCGTTGAACAGAGCTGGTGTTGTGTTGGACACGATGCCTCGATAAGTACGCATGGGAGAAAGCAACAGAACGATGTGGGCTTTGCGGGTGGAGGTGGTGGTCAGGGAGAATGAAGGGAAAGGAGGCGTGTGAGTGTGTCCCGATTTTGTAATTCTGTTTTTACCCTCTCCGCCCCAGAATGTATGTGTTTGGAGGCTGGGTCCCGTTGGTCATGGATGACGTGAAGGTAGCTACGCATGAGAAGGAGTGGAAATGTACCAACACGCTGGCTTGTCTCAATTTGGGTATGTAGAGCGTCTGCTTCCTCCCTCCTGTACATCACCTCTGCCAATCCCACTGTCAGCCAGCAATCAGCTTCCCATTAGCCATACTGATGCCAAAATTTCTCCACCTGAAAGCGCTCAGCCATTTTCTGCTCCCTGTTGAAACGTGTCTGTGCTTTCCCCGTGACAGACACGATGACCTGGGAGCCGGTGGTGATGGAGGCGCAGGAGGATAACCTTCCCCGGGCTCGTGCAGGCCACTGCTCGGTCGCCATCAACTCTCGGCTGTACATCTGGAGCGGGAGGGACGGATACCGGAAGGCGTGGAACAATCAGGTGTGCTGCAAGGACCTGTGGTACCTGGAGACAGGTAGGCAGGAGCAGACTGTGTAGCCCTGCTCCCTCTCACATTCGACTGTCAGAATAACCCTCCATTTACCCTCTTACAGTTCACTTCCCCCACCCACAGGCAACACCAAAAAGTCCTGCCAACTTCAGCTACTTTTGACAGACAGCCCACGGCAGATTGTGTAGTGACCTCGAGCGGATTTTTCTGTGTCAGATTCGGAATGTTGCCGATTCTGTGCCAGCGCTGAAGGAGCAACTTGCTCCTTTTCCCTGCGCTTTCCTGTCCTCCTTCAGACAGAAGTCCAGTTTCCCCTTCAGATCTGCAAGTGACCCTGGTCCCTCCAGACTCTGTGAGGCTGTGTGTTCCAATGTTTCTCCCAGTGTTGCCCTTCACCCTGCTGCTGGTCGCCTTTGTTTACTGTCCCTCTGGGGCTGGATGACCAGCACGGTGTTCCTTAAGCCTTCTGACAGCATAGTGGACCAACACCGCCGCCCCCCCCCACCCTGACCCCGACCTCGACCTCATAAGGCAGAACCGACGATACACCAGATGAGAGTGAGGGAGACTGCAGCATGGCGCGCAGCGCAACGAGATTTCAACTCACTTTTGAATCAAAGCTACTCTGACGGCGATGAGGTGACCATCTTTGATTGTTGTCAAAGACCCCTCTGGTTCACCCGCTCCGTTCAGAAGAAGGGAATCTGCCGTCCTTACCTGGTCCAGCCGACACGTGACTCCAGACCCCGTAGTCCTCGTGGGTGGCTCTTAACTGACACTGTGAAATGGCCCAAGCAGGATACTCGGTTCAAAGGGCAGCCAGTAATGGGCACCAGATGCCAGCCTGGTCGGCAGTGTCCATGTGCTGTCAAGGATTGGCAGAGATCCAATTTAGAAAATGCTGGAGAAGGAGAAAAGTTAAAAGTAGGGTTGTATGGTGGAGGACACACTGCATGTGCCCTGCTCGCTGTTTACCACGATTAACTTGGCTTCTCATTTTTGATGCTACACTTAAAATCTTGTTAAGGCAGACGTAGATAGATCCTCAATGAGCAAGGGGTTGAAAGATTAAAGTCGTAGTATCATAGAGTTGTACAGCACAGAAACAGATCCTTAGGTCCAACTCATCCATGCTGACCAGATATCCTAAACTAATCTAGTCCTGTTTGCCAGCATTTGGCCCATATCCCTCTAAACCCTTCCTATTCATGTCCCCATCCAGATGCCTTTTAAATGTTGTCATTGTACCAGCCTCCACCACTTCCTCTGGCAGCTCATTCCATGCACACACCACCCTGGAAAAGTTGCCCCTCAGGTCCCTTTTAAATCTTGCCCCTCTCACCTTAAACCTATGCCCCTCTAGTTTTGGGCTCCCCTACTTTGGGAAAAATACCTTGACTATTCACCCTATCCATGCCCCTCATGATTTTATAAACCTCTATAAGGCCATCCCTCAGCCTCTGACATTCCAGGGAAAATAGCCCCAGCCCATTCAGCCTCTCCCTGTAGCTCAAAACCTCCAACCCTGACAACATCCTTGTAAATCTTTTATGAACCTTTTCAAGCTTCACAACATCTTTCCTATAGCAGGGAGACCAGAATTGAACGCAGTATTCCAAAACGTGGCCTAACCAATGTCCTGTACAGCTGCAACATGACCCTCCCAACTCCTATACTCAATCAACTGACCAATAAAGGCAAGCGTACCAAACACCACCTTCACCGCCCTGTCTACCTGCAACTCCACTTTCAAGGAATTTATTGGTGACTCGTCTACTGATTAACCCCTAGATCTGATCCCACTCCCATAAGTGGAAACATTTCCTCTGAATTTGTCTTGTTGAACTTCAGTGCAGCAAACCTTTTATTAACTGGCACCTGAGTTGAAATGGGGAGGGTATGGCTTTGAGGTGTCATTGCTAATCCAGAGACCCAGATAATATCCTGGGGACCTGAGTTCGAATCCCACGGATGGTGGATGGCGGATGGTGGAATTTGTATTCAATTTAAAAAAAAAAAAAAAAAGTCTGGAATTAAGAGTCTAATAATGACCATGAATCTGTTGTCAATTATCAAAAAACCCATCTGGTTCACTGATGTCCTTTAGGGAGGGAATCTGCCATCCTTACCTGGTCTGGCCTACACGTGACTTCAGACCCACAGTGATGTGGTTGACTCTTAAAACTGCGCCTCCCCCCGGGTAATTAGGGAACGGCAATAAAGCTGACTTAGCCAGCAACACCCTCATCCCAGGAGTGTACTAGTTGATCCAAGAGGTCACCATGATGTAAAAACACACCCTAAGTCATAGATACAGGGAGAGCAGAGGGCTATCATGTGGATGAGGTTAAAATCCAATCAACCGCAGTCTTATTGAAAGGTGGAGCAGGCTCGAAGAGCCTTTTGTTCTGGTCCATATGATCAACTCTGATCGAGTTGACTTTTGTTTGCTGACAGGAATCTGAGGAGATTCCCATAAGCAACCAAAAATTGACTCCGTCATATGGACTTGGATCAAGAGACCCTTTGAGCCTGGACATCCCATACAGTTGCAGCAGTCAAGGAGGCACAACGCCTCCTCTTCCTCAGGCAGCTCAGGAAATTTGCCATGTTCATAAGGTCCCTCACCAACTTCTACAGATGCACCATAGAAAGCAAACTGTCCGGGTGCATAACGGCCTGGTACGGCAACTGCTCTGCCCAGGACTGTAAGAAACTACAGAAGGAGGTGTGCATAGCCCAGATCATCTCGGAAGCCAACCTCCCATCCATGGACTACATTTACACGGCTCGCTGCCACGGAAAGGCAGCCAACATCATCACAGACCCATCGCACCCTGGTAATGATCTCCTACACCCTCTTCCATCAGGCAGAAGATACAGAAACCTGAACACATGCACCAACAGGTTCAGGAACAGCATCTTCCTGGCGGTTATTAGACTGATGGCTGTGCTTCTCTAATTTCAAATCTAATGTCGATCTGTGCACCTCCTGTACGGCCATAACCCCGTATGCTCCGTTCTGTCCAAACACCCTGTGATCTGCCTGTACTGCTTGTGAAACAAAACTTTTCACTGTACTTGGGTTAATGAGACAGCGATAAATCAAATCAAAAAGGTGGGAGAGAGCCTGGTGAGGGGTCCAGACAGGCACCTCCCCACCCCAGCCAGGGTTCAGTCAGTCAGATGGATGAATCTAACCAGTGATTCCCTCTCTGTTCCTCTTGCAGAGAAGCCCCCAGCCCCGTCAAGGGTACAGCTGGTCCGTGCCAACACCAACTCGCTGGAGGTGAGCTGGGGGTCTGTGCCCACCGCCGACGCCTACCTGCTCCAGCTGCAGAAGTACGACATACCGGCTGCCACACCGGCATCCCAGCCACTCCCCTCGGTGCCCGCCGGGCAGCCCAAGAGCCCGGCCCCAGCCTCAGCCGCCCCCTCCCCCCAGCAGGTGGGCGGCTCGCTGCTGCCACAGCCCCCGGGATCCGCCGTGCCCTGCTCGCCTCCAGTGCCAGCCTCACCTGCTGCCGCCGCCTCTTTGGCCCCTCCGCAGACCCTGCTGGGAGGGGCCACCGCCACCGGAACCCGAGCACAAGGTGAGACCGAGGGGTGTGGGAGGTGGAGGGTCATTGCTGGTTACCGGGTGGGAGGGGGTCGCAGGGAGTGGAGGGGGTGACGGAGACAGGGAGGGGGGGTAGGGGGG